AATTATATATATGCACATCATGTTTATACATAATAGATTCTTTTGCTTCTTGGGGACTAGGTAGAACTACTGCCTTTTTACTTTTAGATGAACATAAACATCTTTTAAACTTTTTTCAAAATGAAGGACTTTCAAGATACATTGCTTTATGTTTTCCATGGATCAAGAGCACACATACAGATAGCCACTGGAGTTCAGCTGACAGGCAGTAACTTGTTAAATTATCGTAACTTGAGGGTATGTCTGAGCCCTTAATTCTTGTAAAATTAAGGATGATACCACTGACTTGGGTGAACTGATGTAAAGGTAATGAGCAAATACTTTTTACAATAGGCAAATGTTCCTTTCCTCTCTTTTGACCAGAAATACCCATATTCCAGCAATTAACACAATTTTAATTTACTTTTATTTTCAATCCTGATGGTAAAAAATGGCACTCTGTCCAATGTTACCATGTTATCGCTACCTAAGCGGAGTTTTGATTAGCTTCATTTTATTCAGTAAATCCTCTTAGGGTTAGCATTGACTTGCCATGGAAAGAAAGAAAACCCAAACATAATATTCCACATTTTATCCTCCTCAACTTTGATAACTATTATATTATTATATTATATATTTATATGATTTATATTTGATGTATTTATATTGATTTGTATAATATTGTATTATTTATTATATTATTAATTATATATTGTGATTAATAATGTATCCATGGAAGAACCATAAAATGTTGCAAGTTCTGTTTTCACATGGTTTATCCACCACAGAAAGCTTTCTTTTAGGCATGCTGATTCCAGTAGTGACTGTAACTAGTCATAGTTCTGAAAAAAACATCTGAGAAAAAAACCCATGAAATAAGCGCTAAAGGAAGTCTTTTTACGTTTTGTCCTGTCTCTGGTTGTTTGGTATAATGGGTCAAAACTTCAACTGTTCTGTTTATTGGCAGAAGTTATAGTTGTACAACTGGGACTCATATGTTCCGTATTAGCTGAGTTACTCCTGTTTAGCTATCTTGGATTAACAGAAACTTACTTGCTTTTAAGAACCACACCTTTGCATATATTGACATTACAATGTACTATTGGTTAATTAAAGGAAGAATGTCTATTAGGCTTACTGCTCAAAATTATGCAGGAGACAGCTTGGTATTTTGGGTAATTCTTCCTTAGTGCTAGCACATTTCCAGAATATATTGGAACTAAGACTTAGGAAAGAAATCTATTTCTTAAATAAAATGTATTGTTTGTTTTATTTTTACTGTGCATAATATGCACATGCTTTCCAGAGTCGTAAAACAGTGTGCACGTCCTCCCTCCTTCCTTAATGTATCACGTCCAATTCACGAAGTGTTTAATTACGTATTTAAATTTAATCATGTCATCATTTAATAGATATAAGTGCAAGTTTAAGGTTTAAAATGCACCTCCTTGCGTTACTGAAATGGGACCATTAAGTCTGTGAGCCTGAAAAGAAAGAGAGAGTTTATGAAAATGCGTACACATCTGAGTAACACTGAAAGCAGAGTTCAGCAATGCCCAACGGGCCACTTCTACAATAGCAAACCACTTCTGAAATGTTGGTCTCTGCAGGGGAGATCACTATCATTATAATTAGAGCTACAATACAATGGACTGCTCACAGTAGCTATTCCAAAAAGTTCTTTGAAGGTGGAGATGAGTGCTAGGCATTCTCAGGAACAGAAAATTGCTTTCTCAAGTTAAAAAAGAAATAAATAAACCCCAACAATATAAAATACATCTTAAATACCTAGACAGCTAAAATAAATTTAAACTTTTGCTATCCCTATTTAAAAGAAAATTGCTGATTTTCCAGTTTGGATATTGCTGATGGGCACTCAAGAAATATATCTCATTCATAATTTCCCAGCATATGTAATATGTAATTACACTTGCAAATAGATATATTTGGTGGGCAAATGAAGAGATACAAAATATAGAAGCTCGACCTCCAGTGCTCCTGTTCTATTTTTCCTTTCAAAGTTCTATTTTTCTTTTCAAAATTAACAATTATTTTTTCTACTAATTATGAAAGCCTAATTTCTAAGAACTGTTTAGTGCTTTTAGGTAGGTACATTGATATAAGTAGGTATATTGATATGAAAAATATTTGAAGACGTTCTGATCAGTTTTTTTTTTTATTGTCTTGCGTTTAAATACTTGTCCAGGCTGTCTTTAACCTTCTAAAGACTAGATCAGGCAGTTGACTAAAATTGAAAACCTAATACCAAGCACAGTCCTTGCTTTTCAAGCTAAAGCCAGCACATCTTGCTGTATACAAATAGCGCTTTTATATATATGTGTGTGTGTGTGTATATATATATATAGTTTTACTGCTTCTCACAGAATTATATCCTGGAACTTTACATACCATGCAGAAATTTCTGCAGCCTGTTAAAACTATAAACTTAAAACTACAGCTGCAAGAATCCTAGAAACTAAGTGAAGAGTTTTGAGTGAAGAGTTTTCTCTTCTTCCTGCTAAGAGCATTCAAGTTATGACAAAAAGATTATGACACTGGTTGCTTTTTCTTTCAAATAACAATGGAGGTCTGGAAAAGAGGTCATAGAACTTGGCTCTGTGAGCAATAGGAATTATAGAAGAACATTAAGAGAAGGACAGGTAATAATTATTTAAGAGGAAAAGTACCTGAGACCCTGAATTGGAATTTTATTTTGTTATCTGTAACACAAATAATAGATAGACTATCTGGTATGATAATGAAAGTGATAACATTTCGGTACAAGGACAGAGTTCAAAATGTATTTCTGGTTCATATAGGAGACTTCAGCCTCTTTATTGACTTGAATTTTGAGTTCTGCTGTATTTTAATCACTCATATTCACAGAATGGTTGAGGTAGGAGGGGACCTCTGGAGATCATGTGGTTCAACCCCTCTGCTCAAAGAAGAGTCACTTAGAGCTGGTTGCCCAGGACCGTGGACAGATGGCTTCTAAGCACCTTCAAGGAGGGAGACTTCACAACCACTCTGGTCAATCTGTGCCAGTGCTCAGTCACCCTCACAGTTAAAAAAGTGTTTCCTGATGTTCAGAGGGAACCTCCTGTGTTTCAGTTTGTGCCTATTGCCTCTGGTCCTCTGAGAAGAGCCTGGCTCTGTCCTCTTTGCAACCTCCTTTCAATGATTTACACACATTGATGAGATTCCCCTGAGCCACCGTCTCTCTAGGCTGAGCACTCCCAGCTCTTGCAACCTTTCATCATAGGAGAGAGGCTTCAGTTCCTCAATCATTTTTGTAGCCCTTTGTTGGACTGTCTCCAGAAGCTCCACTCTGTTCAATCTGGCAAGTTAAAGGATATAAAAAAGATCTGCCTTAGATTTGCTCTTCACACTTTCGATGTGACAGTGGAACACGACAGTACGAATCGAAGGTGAAGAGAAATATTTGAGCAGATGGAAATGCAGTAACGCTTGTTTCTCTTCACGTTGAAATCAGGAAATTAACTAAACATTCTTTCTTCTGAATTGTAGCCATGATCTGACCTCTCTACTTTTTTATATTCCCCCACTTAACGACAAATGCATTATACTCCAATCCACAGAAACTGTTTTTATTTAATATGTTGGGTGTATTTTTTTAAATTTTGGATTCTTTATTTCCTAGAAGTTAATATTTTCTTTGGTCTTAAGTGGTCTGAAGAATTAGAATTGGATGGAATTAATTTGATTTTCAAAATACCTAGTTTTTTGACAATCTGGCCATTATAACAGAGCAATATGGTCTTGTAAATGCTTTGGTGCCCACGTTTGATGTGTGTAGAGAAAATACCATAATTATTTCAGAAAATTATTCCTGAGTAATACAATTCCATTGATTGCACTAACTAAGCTAGTAAATAAGTTCTCTCCTGCTATTATTATATTGAAGTTAAGATATCAAACAATTGTATGTATGTACAATTTGATTAGTGATTTTAATATACTCTGACAGCCATTTATCTCCCAATTTAAACATATGACTGCATGGACCATTTATTAGGAAATTATAGTATTTAGATTTTAACCAAAGATTTTCTGGGGTAAATAGGCACATTTAACTTATTTTTATAAGTTAATAAAATATGGTTTGTGGTTTTTTAAAAATTTGCTGTCAGAGAAATACTCAATGTTTTGTTCCTTTTTCTCATTAAGTACTATTCAATCAATATGTACTTCAAAGTAGATTGAAATAGATGAGCTATCAAAATTCATAAGTTGTTAAAAATAATTTAATTTTAAAAGACTGTTTGTAATTTAAAATAGTTTCAATAGTTGTAGTTAAAGTTTTGATACTTTTAAAAATCTTTTTCACTTTCCACCTAAAAGTAACAATGTTTCTCAAAGGTAGAAACGTTGCTGAAGTCTTTACCAATATGGATATAAAGTCAATCTGTTGAATTTTTATTAGAGATATTATCTGTATTAAAAAACTACCACTGAACAAAAAAAGTTACCACAGTTGAAATCCTAGGTCTGATCCCGGAAACGACCATGGTGTCAGGACATACGCAACCAAGCAAAATGGTACCTTTGACAGGGTTTGAACTTCTGTGGATGTCGCGGTTCTCAGAAAGTTTCCTTATTCGGGGAAGTTCATCATGTATTTGTGACTCCCTCTAGTGGATAGCTTTCTCAACTATGCACCAGGAAATGTTCTCCATATGAAAGTCATCCAACATTAAAAATTGAGAAGTCTTTGTATTCATGGTGAAGATCCGATCCCATTCTCATGGACAGTCAGAATGTGTTTGTGTGCATCTCCACTCATTATCACTCATTTTGCAATATATGTTTTTCAAGATTTTTTTTCATAATGTTGATAATCGTTTCTGTTTATATGTGCAACTAATGTTTATACATTAGCAGATGGAACGTCCTTTTTTTGCTGTGCTACAAACTTCTTCTATTTCCCAGACTTCCATTTACATTACTATATTCCTGAAATGCTTAGAGTTGATCTTAATTATTATTTAATTATATTTCAGGTACCACCAAAGTAAATCTTGTGAAGATCCCTTCAACTGCTTCCAGTCCTCGAGACACTGCTCTAGCAGCTGTTATCTGCAGCGCACTTGCGACAGTGCTCTTAGCTCTTCTTATTCTTTGTGTTATCTATTGTAAGAGACAGTTTATGGAGAAGAAACCGAGCTGTGAGTTTCCGGTTATTACTATTTCTTTGTAATGTTTATATACTGGTATTAATTTGGCAGATCTCTCTGTACGTAAAGTAATGAAATGTCTGCAGCATTCAAGCAAGTTTAGCATTGAGATGAACAAGCTAGCAGAAGCCCAGGACTCCATACAAGTTTACCAGTACACTGTAGATGTTCCAGCTTCTACTGAGAAAATGCTGTGCAGATGTCCAGAAATAGTCCAATTGCATTAATTCTGTGCCATACTCTGTTAGATGCTGCACAGATATATTTGGACTATTCGTGATCCAAGCTGGGATGTCATCATAGGGTTGCAATGCCAATGTGGAAATACCAGCTTGGATGATTTGTGCATCACATGCTATTGTGAAACACAAATTTGTTCATCAAGATAATGAATGTGGCCAGTGTAGATAGTAGATTTGTCATTAACAATTTTGGTTTTATGGGCATATTCAACATTAATTAAATGCCTAAGCCAGTTAGATTTGTAAATTTAAAAAAAAAAATCCATAACAGATCATCAATTTAATTGTTTGTTTATAATAAACATTTTTCTGCCTCTTAAATTAAGAAAGAGAAAAGTCAGAAGCACTCTAGTCCCCATTTATGATTTTAAAAAACTTTTATTAAAATATGTTTGTAGCATCTAATGAACCCTGGATATCAAACAAGAGTAATACCTAGGAAGAATTGCTGTTATCAGTGCTTACAGCAAAGGCAAAAATAAAAAGATCGAGAAAGTAAGAATTGTTCCTAACCTAGAAGATGCTTTACAATGTAAGTTCTGAGAAATTCAGACATAGTATCTTCAAACTTCAGTTAGTGAAGTTTAGTAACATGTTTGCCTTGGCCCACAATTATACAGATTAAAGGAAGTCTGCTGTTAATATAAAGCTCTTTAAGATAACATAAACAAAATCCCAGTGGCTGAAAGCTGAATGTGGAAAATTCAGATGGGAATCACTGAGAATCGTTGAACACTGAGAAAATGTAACAGTGAATAACATATACTCTCAAATCATCAAAATAAGAGCAGATGTCTTCCTAGAAGAGGCTATAGTTGAACCAGCTGTTCTAGGGTTTGTTGCAAAATCTGTGGTTTGCGTTACATGAAACCATATGATCATTGTGGATCTTTCAGTTAGAAATGTCTGGAAATCCTGTATAGTATGACATTTAAGCATTCTATGTAGATAGGAGGCTCTGAACAGGAAAAAACTTATCTTTAGTAATATATATTCTTATTCATTTTCTCCAAAGGGTCTCTAAGATCACAGGACATTCACTACAATGGCTCTGAATTGTCATGTTTTGATAGACCACGGCTAAATGAATATGACCACAGGACATGCTGCCAGTGCCAGAGAAGCACATCACAGACATGTGGTATGTTATCTCTACTAAAGGTGACTTTATGATATGATGGACATTCATCTCACATTTATCTAACACTTCAGTCGTGACATTTAACTTTACAGAGCTAACATTGTCAAACTACCCTTTGTGCTAGGCTAATTTCTCAATAACCAGATAGAATTTCTAAGTAGCTATTTGGTTATGATTTTTTTCCTGTTTCCATTCCAATGACCCTTCACTTAAAAAAAAAAAAAAAAAAAAAAAAAAGCAAGCTTTAAATGTCTTATCGTGTTTCTTTCTGATAAAAATAGCACTGCATCTGGCTTTGAGACTAAAATTAGCGTGAAGGATTTACCAAACAGTATCTAAGAACGTGATATGAACACTAACGGACATTAACAACCTGAGCAATTCAAATCATTGAGATTTTGTGAAGTCGTATCAGAACAGATGCATTTATGACTTTAACAAATACCTAATTTAACACAAGAGCACAGGCTTAAATATCATCCTAATACATTAACTCAGAATGTGGTACTTCCTCTCACACATATCTAATTGAAAAGCAAATTAATTTAAACAGCAGATGCTCATGACTGGTATCTATCTTGCTCCTGGAGGGAGGACTCGGCTTTTAGAAGTAATTCGAATTTAAAGTAATAAATTAAAGAATCCATTTTTTCCAAAAAGAAGTCTCTTTCCCGGATCCATATATTATAATGTAACTGGCAAACTAATACTCAAGTTTGAAAGAGTACAGAGTCTAAGTTTATACAGAGCTTTAACACTTTTAACATTATTAAATTAATTTTCATTCCTTAGGACCAGTTCACTTGATTCCATCACTGTGCTGTGATGAAACCTGTAGCATGGAGCACAGCAGCCACAGTTGTGCTTTCCACTCACAGACTACGCTTAATGAAAGGTAACTTAGTTTTTTTAATGTCTATTAAACATTAAATATTTTTAATGCAGTCAAATCAATATTTATACAGATCCAATAGCTGTTTGGAATGGAATGAGGGATTTTTATGAACTGTAGCCATATCCTCCCATTCTGTGCAAAACCAGGTTTATGGTAAAAAATCTATTTTAAGTATTATTTAATAAACGCTGACTTCAATTTCTCTGAAGAAGTAGTGACTGACTTCTCTTGCAAGCAGATAGTCTTCCTCTTGGTACGTTAGAGGCTACAGTGACCCCCTCTTCTGCTATGGGTTAGCAAGATGCTGCATAAACCTGTGAATCTGGGGGGATTAAGGTACAGTTTAGAACTGTCATGAAGATTTTCTTTTTTTAGAAACTCTTAATGACTGTGAGATTTGAAATATCTAGTATTTCTGAATTTCTACCAGATTTTAACCATTATTTTCTCCTGATCAGCTGAATAAAAATACAGTAGTAGATCAGTTATTTCTACAGCAGTGCCATGAGCTAAATATATAAAATTTATGGTGTCATTCAGAGTTTCCTGGTTACAGATTTCAACACAGGATGTATTTATTTCTTTTAGCTAGAATCTTTTTCCATACAGGGTTTAAATTGGTCTCCAGCTGTTTTGTTCTTATGGCCAAATGTAACTAAAAATGTAGAGGCATCTTCTTCGTAGGTATTGCTTATGCAAGGTGACTTAGTGACCTAAGCGCAAGGTACGAAATACCTAAATTTTCTATAACAACTCATTTAAATACCGGCAAGCTTCAGTCATCCTTTTATACCACCAAGACTGACAAATTGAGAGTTGTGTACTTTGTGAGGCATTTTTGGTTAAGGCTTTAAAAATAAATGTTATATCCATGCTATATCGACATCAAAGATCCCGTGGTTCCTTCCAGTAGAAATGGAGTTTTCCGATTTCCTTTGCCAAAATAATGTGTTTCCTTCAATTGTGGTGCAATGTCCTGACTTTTGGCCTCATCTATGAGAATGCTTTGTGTGTATATCAAAGCTATTAAAGCATCATGTTTTGGAAACAAGTAAGGCTGCTTAGAGTCTATTACAGGCAATGTTAATGTGGAGTGAGTTGTGTCACGTAAACTATTACTGTATATCAGACTTAATATAGCCTCTACAGTTTTATAAATCTGTAGGCAATTTTTGGAAATATAACGTATTAGTGTATCTTTTTGAGTTTGTTAATACTTATTTTGGTATGCTATAGTATGAAAACATTACTGGGCTTTCAACAGAGATAGGCGTTCATAGTGCGCTCAGACATGTCAGTGTCATCATGCACTTCAAATACACTTGAGGTAGATAATACGAGTTTCTACTTCCACTTTCTTCCCTTTTCCATAAAATAAAAATAATCCTTGTGAGAATTAAAAGTCATTGCCCTTCTTTAATATTATATCCTTTACACATGAAAGAGACTAGGAGAAAAACTTTTCACATTTCGAAGGCTGACAGCACAAACTGAAAAATGTAAAGTGAATGCATGTTCAATGTGAAATCATGCAGATAGAAGGAGTTTCAAGCAGTCTTGCTGTCTATTCCCTTCTCCCAGTCTGAATCCACTTCACTTCTTTTACTTCTGTTAGGTATTTGTCTAGCCTGGTTTATTTGGAAGAAAAAAAACCATAGTGTTGGAGATTCCACAGTCTTCCCAGGCATCTTTCTTGCTGCAGTTTAAGCCTATTATATCTTGTCTTAACACCCTCCTGTGCCATGCATTAAGAACAAATAAATTCCTTCCTCCTTGCAACAGCCTCTGTATCTGAACACTACTGTGGCATTTTTATCATATTTCTGTTCTTTAGACTATAAACAAGCACAACTGTAGTTCATGTTTTCTAGAACTCTGAATTCACAATATGAAAGGCTGTAGGCATCCTCTTTCTCTTTAGTAGTGTTCTCCAGAGTGTTCTTCATTTCCAGATGAGGAACAAACTGTAATCCTTTTCAAAAGAATTTGTTTGTACAGGATGCCTCTAGAGTATTAACTTAATGTAACCCTGTTAAACCTTTTTGAAATACCGATAATTACTAATGACAATAATTACAATACTGGTAATGTTTTCTTAAATGCTTTTGAAACCATGTGTCTTTTATCCTTTTGCAGGGCTTCTGATTCTGTTGGAGAAATGATTCCTACCTTCCTTGGTTCTCTTTCCCACTCCACCTGTGGAGACATTTCAGATGCTTGGCCTCTTATGCAAAACTCAGCTTGTTGTGACAGCATCTCTTTCTGTGAATCATACTCAGAACTGGCTGGAGGACCTGCAAAATCCTGCACTCCTGAGACTGAAAATGCAGCCACTGTTGAGTTAGATAATAACCAGGAACTAAGTGAAGTACTTATTTCAGCTAAGTCTCTTGATGGAAACGTTGCAAAGTCCTTTGAAATCTCCAAACATAGAACATGCGTAGAAGTTTCTTCACTTCAGAACTTGGCGGCTGCTGAAACCCAGCCAAAGACAAAGCGTAATGGAACAGCAAATGACTCTACAGACTGATAAAGAGGTAAAAAACATGACTACAAAGGAATGAGAATGAGTACTCAAGGCACGTAGAGTTAGATAAAAATAGAATTGTAAAAATGTTTTATGTTTCTCCATAGGTTACACTTAGCTATTGCTGAAATAAATTAAAACTATGCAAGGGATCCAGGAGTTTCACATTTTTAAGTCATTGACTGAATTTGGAAGGTGTAATTACTCATACTGTAATATTAAGATAATATGGATCAGAATACAGGGATAAGTCAGCTTTTATCAGGTTGGGTTTTTTCATTAAATTTCAGGGGAAAAAAATCAGTTTAATAGCCTTATGACCAAACTATTATGTGAGGCTAGTCCTTGTTTATGAGGAAAGAACTGAGGACTTGTCTTTGCTCATTGTAAATAAAGCATAAACAGACAAAACATTCCATAAGTTTGTCCGTAAAATATAACCTAATCTGTGAAAGGTCAGAGGAAACGCAGGTCTGAGATCAAAATGAGACGAGGTGATAAACAATCCTCTCTACCGCCTAACAATGTAACCATCATAAAAAGTCACTCTGCTACTGCTTCATCATTGTATCTTTTTGAATATTAGCTTTGCTCTGTATTTTTAAAATGGCATTTTCTACCATTGAAAGTAACTTTAATCTGTGAAAGGATCCCAAATTATGGCACGTGTGCTGGTGTTTTTACTCAAGGGTTATGCAGGCTGTGGCTGGAAAGCCGAAATAGTCTCCTAAGCATGTACACAGAGGCACGAACAGAAGCAGTTGCTGCTAATATTAATAATCCACCAAACTTAATTATGAAAATTATGCTATCTGTAATTATGAAAATTTTGGGTTATCTGCAGAAGCAAAACTGCCTTCCTTAGATCCTCTTCCATTTGGTTTACGTGCCACTTTCATATTGTTCTTAAATAATAAGTAGAAAGTAATTAGTATTTAACAAAAAATATACATGTTCTGAAAACACAGAAGTGCAATTGTTAACTCTTTGTAAACCAAGCCTTACTTTTAGGTGACATTTTCAAGAGGAGAAATATTATTATATTGCAAAATAAATAATAACTCGATAAAATCAGAAGAGAGCATATTTTTATTTATGTGCACATAAATAAAATAAAAGTTTAAATAAAATAAATTTTTTTTAATGAGTGTTTTAATACAGATTCAGTCTTCAGGTTTAGGTGAATTTTTACAGCAAGCAGTAAGCTGTATTTTTTTAGTGTTTTAGTCAAGTATAGAAGCACATACATGTTTTTTATGAGTTTATGTAACCACTGTTCTATCACTTTCTTTTAGGAAACCAAGCTATTTCTTTCAGCACGAAAGCTGAATGCTCCACTGCTGATTCTCATCAGACTAGTTTGGTCTTCAATGTTGCATGGTTTCAAAATCAGCTGGAAAAAAATGGCATAATTTCACACCTTCTGAGCTGTTGCATCTGAGCCATAACAGCTGTAAAGTGAAACTTCAAAGGAGCATTCTAGGAGAATACTGAAAGTGGATTTATGACCTTTTGCATCTCTCTTAAAAAAAAAAGAACCTTCTGTTCTCTCACATTCTCAAAAAATCTGATGGAGTGAGCTTAAAAGTATATGTAAATACAGCAAGAAATATAAATACTTCCATGTGTTTAGGTGGGTATTTTAAATCTGGCTACAGATGTCAGAAGGCGTGGGACAAGATGTTGCCAGTTATTCTGCTTGCAGATTTGTGCATGCATTAGGATTTTTTTGGCTGGTTCTAATTTTAAACCCATTTCCTGCTGTTGAAGGACTTAAACATTTCTATTTATGCAAGGATCATCTATTGATAAACTGAAGCTTTTATTATATATTACATTATAGTCAATAAGCTAGTTTGGAGAGTTAACAAATTTGCATGTTACAATATGTATGGTTGAAGTTCCCTCCATCCAGTTATTACATTTGTGGGAGGGGGCATTGTATAGCAGGAGATTAGCTTTAAATTAGATTTAGTTTAATAAAAGTCAGCCGTATGGATTGGGATGTTGTGTTTAATTGGTTGTCTCAGTATTGGAATACAGCACTTGTTAAAGCATGTAATTTTTGGATGTTGAACTAAATGTAATCAACTGTCACGTCAAAATGTCAAACTATAGCAGATGTGCCATGGAAGTATTCATACAATGAGACTATTACTAATATTTTTTAGTAATGCGTTATTTTTAAGGGTCAAGCCTCATGGTGACCTAATTCGTGCATTTGGCAGGCCTTTTCATTCATGACATTCTGTCCTTCTCACTGTAGTATTGTGTAAATTTTTCCACACAAAATTAATTCATAACATTTAACAAAAAATACCTCTGAATTGAATCTTCCAAGTTGCATGTATGCCTAGTATCAGCTCTCTGCCCTCACTGCAGTTCTTTAAGATTTTTTTAACTGCCGTTTGTTGCACCGCATCCCATAATACCATTTGTTCTGCAGCCATTTTTCATCCCTAAAATAGTTTTCACTTCCGTGAGTAATCCCAGTAACCTCAACTGATTCATTGCATTCCACAGGCTCAAACTTGTCAGTGATGAACTCCAGCAATTATTCTTTAAAGTACCCAATGTGCCTTGACAAAAGCAAAGCAATCAGCAAAACAAATGCCAGTTTACAATAAATATTGCTCATTTCTCCACGCGTGGTTTGTGTGGCAATGGAAACGTTGAGACAGTATTCATATTCCATAATGGAAAAAGACTTTTGCTTTGATGAACCCAGTAGAAAGTCGAAACTGCACAAGAATAGCTAAAGCCAGTATAGGCAGCCAAGGTAGTAAGATGCTTCAGGTAAAACCAGTGAGATTATTCATGTGTGCAAAAATCATGATTAACAGTTATCAAATTCAAGTATGTGAAGAAATTATGTAAGTGATTATTTTTATTTTTTTTTTAAGTAGTAAATACCACCATTTGGTCACTGACAGAATAGTACGCATTTATACAGGGAGTGCAATTACTCAGCTAAATACTTTAAAGTATATATTCAAATAAGAGTAGTTTTGAATAATTTCTTTGGAAACTTTCGTACATTTAAGAAGTGACAAAATGTTATTTTTCACTACATGTGCATGAAGAGATGTATGCTTCTTTGTATATACTTTGTAAATAGAAAAAATCCAACGTGCATTTCAGTATATGGCAAGATATTCTTGGAACATATGGAGATTTAGCTTTTCACTAATAACAGTTCTTTAAAATGCTATGTTCAAAAGTTTTGCCAGCATCTGCCACAGTAAGTATGTTTTCCCATTGGAATTTACACTTTGTATGATTGGTTTTGTCCGGCAACTCTAGAGAAAAATACTCATTTCTTTAAATGGGTGACAGAAAGCTTGAGAGCAAATTGGGAAGGCGGGGGGTGGGGGGTTGGGAAATGAAGAGACTGCTTTTTAAATATATGTGTACATTGTGTATATACTTTTTTCCTTTATTTAACCAAATTGGTCTTTTTTATATTGCCTGTGGCAAGCAATGTTGTACATGCCAATAGAAAACATACACTACCACCGCATTTAGTCTGCCCACATACCATGTCTAGGGACTTACAGTGCTGTTTTAAATACTCCTTTAAGGAATGTAAATTAAAATCTTGTATAAAGCGTTTTGTAATACTTTTTCTACTTGTGAATAAAATGTTACGTGAACCAGGCTTGCTTTGTTGATCTCAAATTAATAATAGCATTCTCTACAAAGTTAGTGATCAATTCTTTTATTATTTTTAGAATTCCATCATGGTTTAATTTTATTAAAATTACAGTATAATTTGGTACATCTTTGTCTTGAGACACGTACTGTTTAACAGTAGCATCATTCTTCAAGCTGGAGGACCTTGACGAGGCAGTAAGTTAACATTGATCCTTAAAATCATGGTGCTTCAAAATCTTTTCAAAATTTTTGCTTCTCAAGAAAGGAGAAAAAAAAGCGAGCACCACAGATTGCTGTCTGCATAACGTCTTTGAAAAGAAAACCAAGTACTCCTCACAGTAGACTGTTTCAGACAAGACAGATACTTAAATAATGAGAGTAGCTGTATTTTTGAAACAGAAGAGGATGCCCTGACAATCGTGGCCCCTGATTAGTACCAACAGAGCCTGCACTTGTCTTCCACTGCAGCAGCCAAGAGTGGTTTCAAACCTTGGTTGAAGAAAGAGGGAATTAGAGAACACCGATAGAGAAGCTAATTACCTGTGATTACTAAGGCCATTTTTCAGACAGTGTCCAGGTTTATATGTTCAAAAGACTCAGGAAAATGTTGCTCAAATGGGATGTCATAGAATTTAAATCGTTAAGAAATGGATGGCATGGTTGGACTGACAAGAGTAGAGGACTGAGAAGAAAGAGTAATTTGGTAATTGCATGTAATTACGTGGCTTCTAATGGGAAAGACATAAGCAGCAGTGACTGGAAACTGGATCCAGATAAGGATAGTAGGTAACATAAAGCCAGACTGTCTCTGGTGCAGAATTTGTAGCACTATTGGTTTTTATGGGAAAGTTTGAGAGAGATCCAAAGCTGCTCTGTCCCTGTTGCTAATTTAGTCTAGTGAATTCCACATTGGTTCTTCTCTGGGTATTGTTGTTTACTTCTCCAGTCTTTTAAGTACCTAATTCAGAGCTTACCTGGGGAGCACCTTCCAGGAAGAGCAAGGTCCTTATGCAACTGTGCCCAGGCACTGCTCTCCTGAGCAGTCTTCTGCTTGTCTTCTGCTGAGGCTGTCGAAAATGGCAACAGTCCACATGCCCAGCCCCCTGATCATCCTTGTAGTCCACTTAAACACTTGCGAGTCTGCAAAGCAGCACATGACATGTCTGGCAGGTCACCTTGTGTCAATAAAGGTGGCTGCGTGCCTCTCGGCACTGCCAGGATCGCAATGGTGTGCCCCTGCCACAAATAAAATTTTTTAAAAATCAGGAAGGAAACAGGAATTGAAAAACAGGTGTTTAGGCTATTTTATCTGGAAACAAAAGACAACTCAAAACACATGGTGTGTGTGATCATAAAA